GCAAAGCGATGAAAGAAGCTGTAAAGGTAATTGTATAGTGGAAAACAACATTCTTTTTGTGGTTTTATTCAGTGCAGCATCGATAATGCGATGCAAATTTCTACTGTAACATACTTTCACAGTTACTACATGCACTTTAGCTATTAATTCCACTGTTTCCTGACCTGTCACAAATGTACGCCTGACTGTTTATTCAAATACCTCTTAAACTCTGTTTTTTTTTCTTATTTTTTCGATTTACGCGTTCTAATACGGGGCTATATAGCGGCCACGGAAAACAAATTCTACTACATTTTATCACTTTACACTTACTTCTGCAAAATTCCTTCTCTGCCTATCCCATTTCCCCACCCATTGAGTCCCTATAAAAACCGGTCCCGTACGACAGCATACTGGGGTTTGGGGTATAAAAGATCCACATCTTAAACTACCTTCGCCAAAAACTGCAGTTAGGCTTTCTGAGTTGGGAATGCTTTTCAATATTTCTTTACAACTTTAATAAGCTATTTTTATCCAGCTAACCCAATTGCGAAAAAATCGCTTCTTGGTGGGAGTCGAACCCATACAGCAGGGAAGGCTTTTGCGCAGCCAACGCTCCACCATTGAGCTACGAGGCTCACCTTGCGCCGTGAATTTAATCACAGTTGGATGGTTTTTACCCACCCAACTGATTGCTTGTATGCAATTCACCATTACAGAACAGCAAGCTGACTGTCCAGGCAGGATTACCTAAGCAATCATCTAGAATCCACCAAAATGATTACTAGGCTCACTTAGTTGTTAGGGGGAGGATTGAAAGATTTGCTTACTTAAGTTTACCCAATTGATCAGTAATATCAAGCATGAAATGCGCTCGGCAGTGTGTGTCTCCAACTTACCCAGCCTTGGGTCGGTGACTGTAGAGACATTCGCCCACCAGTTGACCGGCATAGCAGCAGACAGCACCAATCACAATAATCATCGGAATGGAGTACCATCCGGCGCCGGCGCAAGCGTAGGGTAGACCCATGATGCCGACACCCAGAATGAGATTGAAGACGTTCCATGCGGCCATCCAGACGGACGTGCGT